AATTATTTATGATTGTGTTATAATGGAAATTAAAAAAGAACAAAAACAAAGAATTTTATTTCTTTAATTTGAAATAGCAACAACATAACTAATATAATACAACTAAATGTAACTAATATATAACTAACTTTTTTGTTTGTAATCCATGAAGATACGGAAATAAATCTTGAATTTGCTTGTTCCCGTTTCATTTATGCAAATCATTTCATTGAAAAAATTTAAATTGTCAACTATTTTCGATAAACAACTCTCTCACGCATATACAATAAAAGATATATACAATAAAAATATACAATAACAATATACAATAAAGATATACAATAAAGATATACAATAAAGATATACAATAAAGATATACAATAAAGATATACTGTATATATAACAACGCACATACAGTTTATTACCCCACCTCTTATCTTTAATTATGTATTATAATGTACCACAAAATTACATATGTTCATTTTTATTTCATCACAGAAAAAAATGAAGATAACGAATAATATTAAAATAATAATGTGATGACGACAAAGACGACGATGGTGATGATGATGACGATATTTGGATATAAAGATAAGAGAATGGGAGAATAAGAGAATGAATAGACATTCAAATATAGAAATTAGAAGATAGGGAGAGAAGATCACTTTCAAAATAGGTAATGGGAATTGAGTGATATATATATATAATGTATATCATGTTGTAATCTGAATGTGCGTCATAATTGATTACTTTTTTTTTTTTTTTTACCACGAAAAAAAAAGACATCTGACTACCACAAAATCAAGTATTTCAAAATATTTCATGTGTTGTTTGTAGTTGGGAAGTTATTCCGATCGATAATGTTAATAAGAAAAAAAAGTTTTCTTATTCTGTCATATCTGATAATAACAATAATAATGACACGATGAAATACAAGCCACTCACAAAACTTATTGTGACTGTTCTTGTTTAATTTGGTGTACCACAAAAAAAAACGCGTTCACGTTTTATTACAAAACATATTAATAAAGTGTCCAAGTTGACGCGATTAATTTAATTTTGATACAATTATTAATATAATTAAAATGTTAATAAATTAAAGAATGTAATATTTGTTGTCAGTTTCTTACTGGAAACTTAAAAATTGATTCATAATTTAACGGTTAAATCGATTTTTTTTTTATCTTTTAATCAATTAATTAATAATTAATTAATAATTGACTATCACTTATATAAAACAGCGATTATATATCTATGTATGTTCTGCGCTCTTTAAATGTGGGGGGGGATATGAATTCTCGCATAAAAAGCATAAAAAGGAATTTGGTCATGGGATTGTTTTTTTTATTAATTTTATTGATAGATTGATAATTAATATAGAGATTTATATTAATATTTTTTTTTGTTAGGGAGAGAAACAAAGAAGAAAGAAGGTGGATGATGATGATAAGTGATGACGATAATGATAAGTGACGATAGAACAACGTTTAACAACATTTTTTACATTTTATTCAAGTCTAATATGTATATGTGATTGAGTGTAAATATATAAAAACAAATTACAAATAATTTAAAATAAATCAAATATAGAATTAATGAATGAAAAAAATGGAAGAAAGAAATTATCAGAAGAGATATAGAAAGAGGAAAAGAGAAGGGGGTGACACCAAACAATTGTCTAAAATTATTTAAAATTTGCTCAATAATAATAATAATAATAATAATAATAATAATAATAATAAATAGAAAAAAACTTTAATAATTTTTGACCATGTGGTGTGACACGACGTAACTAGATTTTGTTGGATAATAAATACAACAGTGAATTTTTTGATTTTTACTTATTTATGCTATAACCACGCGATATGCAACGATGCAGTAAAACATTATTTTTACTGAAAAATATTGGTATTTTAAATGAAATATTTTTATAAACGAAATGCACGAAAAATGAAATGTACGAAAAAACATAATAGGTTAAATCATCAAAAATCAAAATTTAAATGATAATTGATCGTCAATCACGTTAAACAATAATATAATAATGATGAATTTTAATAATTTTAATATAATGACATCCCTTCTTTTGTCAAATAATCAAATCAAACTTTTTGAATAATTTTGGTTTAGTTTATTTAGGGTAACAATAATTAATTGATTATGAACTTTATTTTATATTTTTTTAAACAATTTATAAATAATTAAACTGTAATAGTCAAACAGAATGCAGAATAAATAATTTGGATTGGATAATCGATAAGGTAATTCATTGATATTCTTCAAAGAATAATTTGAAACTGAAAAAAAAGACTGAGTGGAAAAGAATAAACTGGAAAATAAACTCGTTTGTATATTTTATGTAATGAAAAATTACCAAATCAAATAATAAATTATAATAATAAATAAATTAATAATAATAGCAAATCAATAATGAGAAGTTCTAACAATAACAATAAACAAGTTCTAACAATAACAATAACAGGCCCAACAATAACAAATTCTAATAATAACAAAAAGTTGCCATTTCTAGTTTGCAATAAATCTATAACATTATTTGAAGATTTATTTAACTAATTGAGTTTAATGTATGCTAGATATGTACCAATAAAATGCTAGTAATGTTTGATCCGTTCGATAATCATATTTTTCATATTTTTCATATTTTTCATACTAAATTACAGGGGGGAAAAAATCAAAAAAAAGACGAAAATTGCGTCAAAAAATCAAAAAAAAAAAAATCACTTGAGGGTTTATGAATAATTTATCCTAATTTATCGTACGGTAATTAAAATTTATTAAGAGTGAACACGGAGATAAACAAGATAACACCGAAGATTGCGCGTAATTAGTAAAATTAAAAAAAAAGATTAGGTAATTTTGATAATTTTGATAATTTTTGACGATTATTGCGACAGAAATGACAAAAAAAAATTTTTTTAATTTTATATATATATATATATAAAATTATAAAAATAGAAATAGAAATAAAATAAATACACATGATAATTTATTTTTTGTCATTATTTTTTTATTATTATTTACGATAAATAAATGACACTCATACTGTTGAGTTTACTCCTAAAATCGACAAATCACATGCATATTTTGAGTTTTAGAAAAAAGGAATTGAGAACGTATATATTATATTATTAATACTAAATCATATATTATTCTTCTTGTATTTATTTACTTTATTATTTTATTTACTTTATCATTTTATTTATTTTATTTATTTATTTTACTTTATTATTTTTTATTTATTTATATAATTTACAGTTTGTACAATTAAAAAAAGGAAATATCAATAGTTATGTATCGATAGTTACATAATTGACTATACTTGTTTTATCCATGCTAGAAAATATGATTATGAATAATTATCTTGAATAATTATGAGTCTTTTATTGAAAAATGTGGCTGCGGAAAGATAAAAAAGCATTCCCACATTTTTCCGATTCTTTTTTCTGTTGTTCTTTCTTTCTTTCTTTAAAAATTTCATTTACTGTAAAAACAAATAAATAATTAATAATTAATAATTATAATCTATACAATATATTTTTTTTTTAAATAATAATAATAATAATGGAGACTTATTAAATTTTTTTTACCTTGGCTACATTTTTCGGATTTTTCTTAAAAAAAAAAATTATAAAGGTAATTTTTTTGGTTGATTGGTTTTAATTTTTTTTGATTGTTTTTTTTTGATTGTTTTTTATTGCTTTTTTTTTTTTATTTCTTATCAAAAAAGAATTATATAATCACTATCCCACTCACAGATAGATATTCCAGATATTCCAGATATTCCAGATATTCTAAATATCTGCAACTTCATGTAAAAAGATAATTACTAAAGATAATATTTTTTTTTTAATTCTTTTATACACATACACACATACATATATTAGTTTACAGTCATGAAGCGTCGGAAATATTGAGAAACATTGATTCGCTAATAATTGTCTTCAATAATCGTCTCCCAAGAAGACAAACAAAAAATAAAGAACAAAACTAAACATAAACATTTCAATATATTATTTTAATAATTTATATATTTTTTTTTTTTACTTTGCCTCAAAAAATATATACACTTCACTTTTTTTCTTTTTTCCACTTCTTTTTTCTACTTCTTTTTTCTATAACTACTTTCTACTACCATTTATTGTTACTATTGCTACCATCCATCCATTATTACTACGCCAGTTAATTACAACTTTTACCGACTTGTACTACAAAAAAATTTAAACATTTTAAACTGGACCGCAGAATAACTGGAATAATTTTTAATAACCAAAATATAATTAGAATAATTAAAATAATTAAAAATATTAATAATCTAATTATTTTTTAATTTTTTTTTTTTTTAAAATCTTTTTAAAAATTCCTATAAGAAAAAAAAAACAATTACAACTTTAAAAATAACTTTATTTTTAACAAATTAGGGAATCCCACGAAACTTGGTGTGTGAATGTACGTGGTCTTGTGGCGAGCGTAGTAAACACGGATATCAAAAAAAAAAACTACGCTTATCATATTCATATTTGTCATTTCACATATCCACATAATATTAATATTCAATAATAATACGCATATCCTCAGTATCCGTATCCCATATCCTCAGCATCCGTATCCCATATCCTCAGCATCATTAATAATCTTTTACTCCGCTGTGCCACCTGACCACCGTGATTGTCAAATTTTTGCATAAATACGAGTATTCCCCCACTTTCCGATTCTCTCTAATAATCTTTTACTCGAAACAAAAAATATATAAAAAAAATATATTTTTATTATTATTGTTGCTGTTGTTACTACTACCACCTTCTATCGCCTACAAACCAACGTTAGCACCACTATCGCACGTCATTAACAATAAAGAATAAAAAGAACAAATAAGAGTAACAACAAATAATAATCATAAAACAATACAAACAATAACACCACCACCGTCAACAAAAAAAAAAAAAAAGAGAGAGAGAGAGAGAAAAGAAAACAACTAATATTCAAAATATCGTTATTATATAATGGCAGCTTTTGAAAACGTATCACATATATACGATATATCTGTAAATAAACTTGCCAACTTTAATACAACTCGAGGAGAAAGTGATGGATTAAGAAAGTTGGTATTATTAAATAACTTTGTATACACAAAATTCGTTGTCCCAGAACAATTAGAACAATTATCAATACCATCACAACAACGATTTGATCCGTTAGAAGAATTATGGTTAGATGATGATGATGTAAAGAAAGATGAAGAAAATTGGCTTGACGCATGTTTAGATGATTGTTTAGATGAAGATGAAGATTATGTTTATATAACGAAACCTGATATTGAGAAATTAATGGCAGCAGATGTTGATGATGATAATATTATGGATACTACTATAGATATTGTTATAAATAATGCTATAAATGATGCTATAAATACTGTCATAAATGAAGATAATCTGGAAGATACTATTATGGAATATGAAGGACCTGATGATATAATAATACCTAATAATAATAATTATCATTTTCCTTATCTTGATATGATGATCGATGATGAAAAAGAAGAAGGTGGTGATAATGATTATGAAGATGATGATGAAGAAGAAGATGATGAGGATGATGAGGATGAAGTAAATACTCCAACAGCTAGTTATGAATCAATAATAGAAACAACGGAATCGAATAAAGGGAAAGGATTTCATCCATATTGGAAAGATAATAGTATAATATCTCCAAGATCTCAAATATCTCTTCCTTCCCCTTCTTCTCATTCTCCTATTTCACCTCCTTCGATAGAATCATATCGTCCGTTCTTTGATCTTAACAATAATATTCCTTGTATATTTCAAAAATATCATCAAATTAAAGATGATGATTATTTCGATGATGATGATATTGTTATGAAACAACCTTTGAATAATAATAACAATAATCATGATAATCATAATAATGGTAATAAAAACAATAATCATAATAGTAACAAAATTAGTAGTAAAAATAGTTGTGCCATCAATGCCGTCGTTTTAGGTTTGTTAGATTATCATAATCAACAACAATCATCTATTCCTCCCTCTCAAATTATTTCATCCACAAAAAGATCAAAAGATGATTTCGATATTCTCTATTCACTTACAACTTCTCCACGAAATTTAGGAAATTTAGATCAAGGCGCTATAATTGATATGTTTAATATGTTAGATTGGTATAACAACAGCAATAATAATAATAACAATAATAACAATAACAACAATAATAAGATTAATATGAATAATAACAATAAGAACAATAATGTGACTCCTTCATTTCTTGAAGAAGATAATAAAAATATATGGTTCATTGATAATACCATAGATAATTGATGACACAAGAAAAGGCTTTCATTGTAATTATTATTAAATATTTCCCCTCCCTCTCCCTCCTTTATTGTTGTTGTTATTATCATTATTATTATTTATTATTCATTAGTTCACAATGCATTTTATACATATCAAGTACAATATATATACATATTTATAAATGTATATATGTGTATATATTTACATATATATATATGTGAAGTCCATGATGGACTTGATAGTATATAGAAAACTTTATATTTTTATTTTTATTTGATTTGATTTTTTTTTATTTTATTTTATTAATGGGACATTGGTGAATTAAATGACATTACAAAAAAAAAAAAAAATGTAAAATCAAAAGTTGATGGAAAAAAAAAAGACAATTGATTTTTCTTTTTATTTATTCTTTTTTCTTTTCTTATTTTATATATATATATATTGGTTGTCAGTAAGCTAGTTTATTTTATTTTATTGTTTTTTTTTTTGCGGGATATTTCCCATTGTAGTACTTTGTAATATTCATTCGTAGTTAATAACAAGAATTTGAATTTCATAACCAATTTTATAACCAAATTTAAGAAACTTTTTTTTCCTTGTTACTTTATTATATACATATATAATAATATATAGTCAAAGAAAACATATACAAAACATTACTAGACAGGTTTTTTTTTTAAAAAAAAAGAGATTAAATAGAGATTAATGATCATAATATAACTTTTCGAGGATTAATAGTTAATAGTTATGAGAATTTGATCCGAGATATTTTTTTTTTTTCTTTCGAAAAAATTTTTTTCGTGATCGTTGCTATCGATTTTTTGCATAACGTCCTCTCTTAAATTTCCCCCGCGTCTCTACCTATTATGATTATTATCTGTTTGATTTTTTTTTTTTAATACAATAACAATTGAACAATAATACCTGATTTTGTTATTGTTATTATTATTGTTATTTATTATTACACCGCTTTTTGAATAAAATAAAATATAAAAAATATTGTCATGCGATTTGCAAGTTAGAAAATATTGTCATGGGAGTAATCATTTGATTAAATTTAATTTCTTTCCTCATAAAAAGTCATTCAAAGCCCATTCAAGAAGTCACTCATTCGAAACGCCACATTTCATCATATCTATGCATCTAATTAAATGTCAATCATAAGATTTTTAAAACGAAAAAAAAAATTAAGTAATCTAAGGTAAATCCTCTCAATTTTACGAGAATCAAAAATAATTAGAATTAACATATTCGAGTAACCCAAGTAAGATAAGATTTATTTATTTTCTTCTTTTAGTTTTAAATTTTTCTCACACCATGCGTCACAACCTAAGCATACTTGCATATTCTGTATATTCTGTGTATTCTGTTTACTGTGTTAGGCAAACACGAAGGGTAATTGCAGTATAATGACGTTATATTTTTATTTAGGTAACGAATAACGAACGGAGAATTCACGTGTAAGTATTACCAGTTTTATTGTCCCGAGGTAGGGAGCATAATGTATTAGTACCAACTCAGGTTATGTATCACTCCATTATGGATTTCTAATTTTTTTGTACTAACCTGGAGCAATTTATTTATTATAACCCGGGTTACTATATATAATTTTGCTTTGAGTTAACCCCATGGAGTAATAATTATAATTAGTGATATCTAGCAAAATATATCTAAAATCGGAAATAATTGCCGATGGTCGCTGCATAAAAACTTTTTATTTTAATAAGTAAATGTCAAAAATAGTACTAAGTAATATTAAAGATAAAAATGAATTGCGTATTATATTTAAAGAACAGACCTATAACATTAAAATTGAGAGAAAAATTAGTGGTTAAAGTTCGAACGAACGAAAAATCTTAAAAACGAGCTCAATTTTGACGATATAGGTCTATCCTTTAAATATGTTACACAATTCATTCTTGTATTTGAGGTTACTTAGTACCGTTTTTGACATTCACTTATAATATAAAAAGTTTCATATGTAGCAACGATCGACGATTTTGTACATAATTATGTTATATTTTTATATAAATAATTATAACATGATATATACAGTGAATGTCAAAAACGGTATTAAGTAACCTCAAATACAAGAATGGGTTGTGTAACATATTTAAAGGATAGACCTACATTATCAAAATTGAGCAAACAATTATCATTTCAATATTTTGTTATCCGTTCGAATTTAGCCGCTAATTTTTCTTTCAATTTTAATATTATAGGTCTGTTCTTTAAATATAATACGCAATTCATTTTTGTCTTTAATATTACTTAGTATCATTTTTGATATTTACTTATTAAAATAAAAAGTTTTATATGTAGAAACCATTGACAATTATTTCTGTTTATATATTTATCAATTACAATTATTGCTCCATAGAACAACCTGGAGTAACCTGTGAAGTACTAATCTGATACATTAACTTGAGTTGGGTTAAGTTGACCTTTGCTCCACTATAACATGAACTCAACCTCAACCCATTATGTTTCATTAACAACCCTATTCAAAGGATATAGTAAAAATTTATTTATTTACATAATCCTTAGGCATGTGTTATGTATTAATTATTATTATAATAATAAACTAATTATTATTCTATAAAATTAATTAATTGTTATAATCATCTATATTAAAACTTTGTTCTATTTTTGTAAACTTTAATTAAAATTCTCATACATTAGAATTTAAATTCTAAAAAATATTCAATCTACTTTATTTCTAAAATAAAAACAAAATTAAATTTGTTAATAGTAACAATTGATAACTCATTCATTAGGAATTAAATAAAAATATTTTACAATACTATATGAATGCTATTCTATAGTATTATTCAAACAGCACTAATATACTACAGTGTAAAATTTCTATAATAGAAACTTAGTTATAATAAAAATTGTTTAGTTCTTTAATATTAAAATTTTATTTACTATATAGTCTGATACAAAAAAATTTGCTCTTCACCAGAAAAAGATACAATTTACACTAAGTAAAAATCTTGTACAACAAGTATAATAGTTTGAAATTCATAAAATTTGTATAATATAATTAAAAATATTTGTTACTAAAATTTTTTTTACTTAATTATACTTCTTTTTTCATTAAAACAAAATGGTATGCCACTTATAAAAAATAAAAAACTAATGATTATTAACATTTACAACTACTTTTTCAAAACCAATTTGATAGAAAATAATTATCAAATACTTATATTATGTAAGTAAGTTACTAAAATATTAGATATTACTAAGAAAATAGTTGAAAACATGATAACAAATTGAAACAAAAATAACGATGGTACATTTATATCACCAAAAATTATTGGGCAGTCTAAATTTCAACCTGATAAAAATGTTATAAAACTTTTGCATATAAAAATTTTGAAAATAAATAAAATAAATAAGTAACTTTTCATACCTGTTCTATGTCAATTTTTTTTTAAACAAGGTTATACATTTTCCAAATGACAATTTCTATAACTTTTACATCACTTGAACTATTACTATGATCAAAATGAATGAAGAAATCTTTTTTATAAGTCACCAAATAATATTACATTCCGTTGTTATTATTTTTGTTTCTGTTTTACTAATTTTGAAAATAAAAATAATATTCCATATTGTCTAGAAGTTTTTCTTGATAAATTATATTATTATCTTCATCATATTTCACAAAATACATGGGTTTCTCATCAAGACATTATCTTAACAACAAGGTATAGTCCATTAGTAATAATGTAAGAGTTCCTTGTTAAACTCTTATTTTGTAGATATGGTGTATGTATATGTATGTATAGAGTTATTCCCAATAACTCTAGCTTTGACCAGAAGCAAACAAAAAATGTAACTAAGTATGTGAGTTTTATTGTCAATAAATTAATGAACAGTAAATTGTCCTTTATTTAATAAAATACATATGCCTTATATATATGTTTGGTTACATAATAATGAATATAAATAAATATAAATACATATAAACTTAAGTTCATAGAATCCAATTCGGAAAAGGCAAACTTATCAAATAAAATATAAAAAGAAATAAAAATAAAAATGCACATGTGAATTAATTGATAGTCTATAAATAATATAATTAGTAATTCACATGTACTTAAGTAGATCTAAGTTAAATGATTATCATCTTATATTAAACATGTTTTCAATATGTTATCTCATGTTAATAAGATGTAATCAAAATAATATCAAAGATAAAATAAAATAAATAAAATGAGAAGGTGCGCAGCAAATTAATGACGATTCGTTACAAATAATTTTTGAAGTAACTATTATATTTTAAAATAGATTTTCCAATAAACTATATGGTGAACTTTTTTCAAATTCTATTTATATTTAAGATTTAATAATTAAATTTTCAAGTAACTGAGAAAGAAAAAGAAAGAATAAAATAATATTTTAATGTTGTTAAAGGTACAAATATTATTTTCAATGAAATAGATTATTATAAAAACTTTAATGTAAAAATTTTTAAAAATTTTTTTTAACTTTTTATAAAATACTTTATAAAAAATATAGATAAATATTTATATAGATAGAACAAGCTATTATAAATGACAAACTGAAAATATTCCAATATCAAATACAAAAAAAAAACAAAATTGCTAATTGATAACTACTCACAATATTACTTTTTTTAATAAATTAAGAAGACCAAAACTTTTTGAATTAGTTCAAATGAATAAAAAAAAAGTATTACTTTCTTGTGTTGTAATAATAAATTAATATAATTATTAGATTTTTTTTACTTTCCCTTATTATTGTAAATTTTAACTAAGTTACATGTTTAAGTTCATATACAACATCAGTAATTATATTAATTTGAAAACCTTCGAAATTATATCGCAACGTTGGATTTCAAAGGTTATCGATTGTGTCACAACCCTTCGAAATCGAAATTTAACGGTTAAATTTCGATACGTATTATTTCGTTATCAAAAACCTTCAAAGTTCAATGCTAAATTTTTTAACGATAACGTAA